ATCCTCAGGCGATTCCTTCATCAAAGCACATCTTTGTAAACACAAAAGAAACATTCAAAACCATTGCTTTGATTCTGAAATCTGCCTGTCGCGAAATGTCTTCTTGCACATGAGATGTAATACTAAAATAAATTGAATTAAATTTTAACTATCTTCGTATTCCAAATTTGACTGACCATAATACATATCACAATTTTAATTAAAATTGCAATGTTCGTGACAACGAAGTTGGAGGATATCCAACTTCTCCACTATTCAAACAGAATTATTGTGCATAACATGCATCATTTATTTAAATATTCATATTTTATTTAGTAATATGTACTCTTAAGAACATTTCATTTTTGCAAATAATCATATTGAATATACATATACTCTGTTATTTTCATATATTATTTATCAACATTGTATTATTCGTATCAATTTTTTATATTGTGTTAGTATTATAGTCATATTAATTGTTAGTTAGTACGTTCTTATTAACATTCAAAACCTCGGTATGCAAGAAAACCTATCCTGAACTAATAATAGAACATATACAAGAAAATGATATTCATGGATATAATAAATACCCACTGTCACTATGCTCATTAAAAAAATCTACGTAATACAACTAGTCACCCGTGCCGATCTTTCATCCTACGGCATGATTGAATGACCAGAGGAACAAAAATGCATGCGACTCACGATTAGATGCGAAGAACGTTGCCATGGATATTGTTGTGGGCCAGCACAAGTTATCGTGAAGTACAAATTCAAATACGAATTATTGAATCAGAAGAAACAGAAGAAATAGAATCTGAAAAAAGTTATAAAAAAGCATGAGACATAATTTTTTTCTTTATAATCTTAAATTATGTAAATTATTTCAAAAATTTAACATGATATAATAACATAATATAACATTATAATTGTTCAACAAATTTGAAAATACAAAGATTATAAAAATGAAATTTTAATTTTAATAAATTTCAATTACTATAAGAATTATAGTAATGTAAAAATATAAAATTAAATTTTATTATTTGGTCAACAATAAAAAGAAATTCAAGAAATAAAATTAATTACAATATGCAAGGATTCTTACATGCTTAACTTTGAAGTACCACTGCTCCTTTCCAAAGAGAAAAGGTAGAAATTGTGAAAAATCTGCAACAAAACGTGTGAAATATTAAATTCTGTTCTTAAAACATATATTGCTTCATTTACATATATATTTTATATATATATATATATGTTACTTTTTAAATAAATATTTAAAAAATTTTAAATAATGAAAAATAAAATTTATTCAAAAATTTTTATAATAATACGTCTGAATGTCATTGGAAATTCAAATGTTCACACTTCGTAATAATCAAATATGGCGCGCTTTTATTGTTAACCAAAGCTGCGCAGTACGAAGAAGACGCGATGCGCAGAACACGTTCAAATTTATTTATTATTGTTAACAATATATATTAATTGATAATCAAATAAATGTTACCAGTTATTCAATAAAAGAGAAAATAAACGTATAAATACATTTGTCTTCATTAGAATAAATTAAATATTACTATACCTGCATAGAAGAATGTCAAATGTATCTCAGTGCGGCGTCTGTTTGAATTTCCCTTGAATTTCTGCTCATATTTAAGAGCTTCTCTCGCAATCATTCTATATGATTACCTTGTAATCTATACGAAAAGAAACCAAAATTATCAAATTATTGTATATAAAAAACAATGAACAAGGTCAAATACCATTTGGAAAGCTCACATTACGATGTAAGACAATACAAGAAAAGAATATAATTTAGCTATAATTTACTTATAATATTGTATTATAGAGTAAAAACGTACGTTAATTAAACGAAGTTAACCGCAGAGTAGATATAAATGGTAAAAGAATGACGATGAAAGCACTACACAATTAATAAATGTCACGATGCAGAGAGATACATCTTATCACACCGATTTTTGACAATGAACTAACCCCCGCGAAACAGGAGTGGGGGAAAGGGGTATTCTTGTCGGTAATTTAGTGGGAGGGGGGAAGGCAACCAATAGAATTCGACTAATTTCATGGAAAAACAACGTCCTTCGAAAATGTTCTCAATAATGAAAATATTATACACTGTATACATTTATGTATAATTACATAATACATTATGTATGGTCGAATAAAATTTATTGAATTGATGAATTCACATAATTCTTTAGAATATTTATTAAAATTATAACTTACTATAATCACATAGTTTAATTATTAACATAGTTTTATTATTATGAATTGTTATAACTTGTGAACACTTGCAAGATAATATACAACAATTAATTAATTATATTGACTTGGAGCATAAATTCTGCAATGGTTATGTTAAATGTTCAAGTACTTTCACACAAGTTATTACATGTGGAAATAAGTACATACCAACAAGAATATCTAACAGTTATCTTTTCTAAATCGCAGATGTATTCTAAATAGCAAATAATTCTATAAGCTATTAATTATGTAATTTTTACCTGACAATTTCTGGACGATGCTTCTTGCTGTGCTTCCCGCCAACGATGACAGTTATTACAGTATTATAGATCGTGAGAAATATCGATTACGTTCGAGAATCGTAATAAGTTTCATATTTCGCCGTTTCATTGGCGCTGTAATCTACCAATCAAAATTGCAAATACGCGCGCATTTTGAACAAAGATACATTGTCCAACTGGAGCAAAAAATCTTTTTCGTGTATTAAATAAGACAAATAATTTGAAAAATGTCTCGTTGATCAATGGTTCAATTTAATTATTATTAATCTGCACATTTAATGTAATATTTTTTAAATAACGAAGGGAATGACATATATAATTCGAAAATCGAATGAAAAGATATTTTTGATTAACATCATACTGAATTTGAAAATTTTCATGATTTCTGTTTGTTTCCATTGCCAGTTGTGATCTTTAGATATACACATCGATCAATTAAGAACTGTAAATGAATTCAGAAATATTTGAGATATGTTTCAAGAGAATTACACAGAGACAAGCCATACATGAGACCGAAATAAATTACGTACCAGAATGTAACGAACATCGCTTCAGCAAACTTGTGTAGATGAATGACGGTGGTATTGTTTCAGGTTGCCGCCACCGTTGCCCAGGATTACGAAGTCTCTGACATTCAGTGCAGCGGCGCAGGATCAGCCGCCGATCTCCTGACAGCGAAGATCAAAAGACCAGTTGGCTTCAGAGGGGCGCCGCTCTTTGCCGACGACAGATCCGCCAATCCGCTCACCGACATTCACTGCCAGATCAGGCCAGATCCCAACGATCCTCAGGAAGATAACTACTTCCTGAAGGTGACTGACTTCTCGAGATGCGGCATCCTGAAAAGAAACGTGAGTCATCGATCGAGATTTTGCTTCTCGCGCTGGCTCATCATCGCATTCGCGTTCCGCATTGCGCGTCGATAAACCAAATCGGTTGGTTAACAGATACCCTCGTATTACGTCGTTGTGTTACATAATTAATTGCGAAATCTGATTATCATTCGTTTTGGATTTATTTGCTCAGATCAGATCAGATGATCAATGCGATATCTATAATTGTTCGAAGGTCCTGAGACATATAAAAGTGAGCGTTTTAATTTAATTCATCGAGGACCAAGTATCGTACAGTTACAATATTGTTTTAATAATTATACGATACGAGAAAGGATAGGATGAACAACATTTTATCGTTATTAGGGTTTCATTCATCTGCGAATATGGTTTCCGGCATTTCCCGGCGTTGTAATGTTAGCTGATCAAGAATTGATCTTGATGTGTCGACCACCTGAACCCACGTTACTCCGACACAAAGCCGCCGGTTTCGCTGGAACCTTGTAAGTTGTTGCTCCACATTGGCAATAATAATTCCTACAAGAAACAGATATGGTATTAACATTTTTTTTACAATGAAAAGCATTCAAACGAATGGAATGTTTTCATTTTTTTTTCCACATTATGACAATATAAAAAAAAAAAACATGAGTCAGATTTTGTTAAACTCTGTCTGATTTCTTTCAGTCCACACGGAGCAAGAGTATCGGGAGTCGTCGAAGAAACTCCTGGACGACTGGAATACGAGGTGGCCCTTTACCGCGAGGCCACAGGCAATGTATCAGACGCATCAGGGTCGCAGGCTGTCGATCAAGCGGTTCCGATCGGTACAAAGCTTCAGTTAAGAGCTCGAATCAGTGCAGACAGTGCATGGGGTTACATTAAACTGTTGGAAGTGACCGTTAGTCCTGATCCCGATCAGCCTCACGCACCAGGAAGTGTCGTGTTGGTAAAGGACGGCTGTAGAAATCGAGATTTCGCGTCAATAATTCCTCATCAGCCAGCCCGTTATCGGGAGAGAAAGAACGAAGTTTTCCTCGATTTCGAAGCCTTTCTCCTTAGCTCCATGAGAGAACGATCCACGCTGTGGATCCACTCGCAGATCAAGGCTTGCATGGAACCGCAAGACTGCCAACCGGTAAGAACATAATTTAGTCTAACTTGCGGTCGACTGGCCATTCACCTATTTGGCTTTGTAATTCGCTGTCTGGCACAAGAAAAGAATTCGTCTCTTTATTCTAATGGACCTGCGGTTTTTCAAATGATTTCGCTTTCACGCTCTTTGTGAAAGCGAAATATAAAAATAATAATAAAACAATGTACATATTATTAGATATTATTTGATTTTTAGAGATTATATTTTTAGATAGCTAGCCGCCATTGATTCGATGTCTTTTTTAGATAAATTACCATTTATTTATTAGCCTTGTTTTTGAATCAGCTCTAATTTATATTCGAACAATAAGACAAAATACAACTCATATTTATAGGACTTTTGTCTCGATCTTTTTGAACCGGCGGGGCACGGAAGAAAGAGGAAACGATCTATTGAAGAAAGCATGAATGAATATTTTCCTAAAGTCGATCGTTTAATAAAAGAATACAATGATTCGATACCTTATACAAAATTTAAGGAAAACATCGAATACACGGTGATAATGCCTGATGGTAAGTTCCATTCTTTAAATTTGTTTATCATTAAAATAATAATTGCTATTTCCAAGTTTTTAAATATGAAAATTTACTAGTTATGTACATTTTTAGATTTGTATCAAAAAGTTGCTGCTGGACTTGAGAACAGTTGTGGTAATTTCCTTTACGTTGCAACCGGATTAGGTACACTTTTGGTTCTGTCAGCCTTTATCATGTGTTATCTAGCAACACGACTTCATAATTTATCGTCGTCTATACCACAAAATAAATCAATCGACGAACTAGTACGAGACCGTGCTAGAAAATATTCTGAACCAACACCAGGCTACACCGGTCGATCTACAGTACAATAGTGAATATTATGTCCACATTATTATGTCCAATCAAAACGAAACAGTAGTTTTTGTGAAATGAAATGGGAAACCAAATTAACAAAATGACTCATAATATGAACATAAGTAATATGTCATACAAAAGTAATTAAATTATATTAAAATATATTTATATATTACTAAGTTAAAATAGGTAAAGTTTAGTAAAACTTATTGTTAATAGAATTACTGCAAAGATACGAATATGTTATATAGACTGCTATTTATAACACAAAGAGATAAATGTAATTTATAAATTTTAGCAGATATTAAATTTTTCACTATTGTTCTTTCTGAACTGATCATTCACTTTGCACGTTTCATACAACAAGTTGCACAAAAATTTTCTCACATTAAATACTCATGACTTGCAAGTCTACTTCACTACCTTAATGCAAATTTATTGCAAAACGTGCAGTGCTATTACGTGACCTGAGACAGTGCATATGTAATCTTTAATAATAAGTACGTCTAGATGAACTGTATTAATTTGTTAATTATAGGATAATTTATTGTCCATTATGGTTGAATATAATGTATCTGATTTCTTGCAGTGATTATATAAGTTTGATTCAATGTACATACATACAGTATACTATTTATTTTTCATAAAGGAAATTTTGTCATTTAAAGATTCTAACTACAAAATTCTTGGTTGAACAAAAGTAGATAAATACATACTATAAAATATTTATTATATCAATCTAATCGCATATAATAGTTATTTATTGCAGAGTAAAACATTACTACATGCATTTGTATTTAAGTATGTCATGGAATATTAAATTATTCATTAAATTATTCATTAAATTGATCGTTCAATTTCGCAACATTATTCTATTACATGGTTATAAATATAACATAGTACGGAATGCGATAATGCTGCGCAATCGCGCATATATAGATAAAGAAAATTTATGACAACCAACTTTATTTAAAGCATATAGGGAAAAAATTCTGTGTTCAAATAAATTTCGATTTACACATAATATTACATAGCCTTAAGAGCGTAGAATACATTTTCTATTTTTTATCACGATCAGAATCTGTCTTTAGTTAATATCTTAGATTCAAATAAAAATAATCTAATGTATGTTACAAAATGTGGCACTTACAATTTATTTTACAGTTTTAACATTTGCTTATAAATGTACATTTTTCTTCTACAATGTATTGTTAATTCGTATTAATTAAATATACATGTATTTGACAATAATGATTTGCAGATATTATTTCTTGTATGCATAATAATTTTTTTACAAATATAGCGCAAATATCAACAGAGAAAAATAAATCAATTCTGATGCAATTGCACTAAATTGTGATTTCATACTATGAAGATGATTACTTGATCTCTTAAATGATTGTATAGAATTATCATAATTAAGTTAAATTACATTCCAGCTATATTATAAATCTTGATAAAAAATAATTAATATAGAATTATAAATTTATCTGCTATTTTTACTTGAAGTGCTACATTAAAAAATTCAATTATAAATTATATATGATTAAATAACAAATAAAAAATATACAAGTTTTCATTTTAATTATAAAATTTTTTAATTAAATGCTTAATTTCCCGAAAATTATAGTAATAAAGTAAAATATATTGTCAAAAAATAAATAATACTAAATATAATAAAATCTCTGTAAATATGAATAAAATACAACTTCTCAAACATTTTTATATAATATTAATATTGTAATAGTCAAAAACTTTTTAGTAATATCTTAGTACCAAATTTTTATATTAGATACATATATGTGTGCATAATTTGACATAGCATGTAACATAAAATAAATTTCTCTAAACCTTCTTAATTAAAAATATTTCAGTTTACAGATATTCACATTTTTTTTTTATATACCTCTGTCGTTGTATTTGTTTTTGTCGTTGAGTTGTTGGAAATTAAAAATAATATTTCTATATGTTAATATTTTAAATGTTCAGTATAATTATAAATATTTAAACCATACATATTTTCCAAATGGAATTAAATAATTTAAACATTAGTGTGATATCATATTTACAAATATATTTCATAAAATATAATTATCACACACTCTGAGTATACAGAGTAAATTATTTAGTCCTTTCTTTTTTTTGAGACTTTACAAAAGCTTCATAAGCTGCTTGTTCTTTTTTTTCTTTCTTTAAATTTCTATCTTCAAACTCCAACCTGCAATTAAGCACTATATCAAAACATCGTAAATCTGTCAAAAGCTTGGGATATGCAAATTTGTTATAAAAAGTAGACACTTAGCAGACTACACATAAGTATAAATACAACATGAATCCATGAAATGTTAGCATAAAATTGCATATCCCATTACAAAAGCAGATGAATGATAAAAAATTATAAAATAAAGGAAGAAAGAAAAAGTTATTGTAAATTGAATGATAAAATGCAAGATGACAAGATTCAACACATCAATGTTCAAGTTCTTAATTATCATATATAATTCATTTGTTCTAGCAACAAAATACTGCATACAGTACATTTTCTTTTTTTAAGGAATTATTTTGTAACATCAATCTCGAATAATATCAACTATATTATGAAAAAAGAAATATGAAACAAGAACATTTTCATATTTTTTAATTAAGTGATATGCAATAATTTCAAATATTTATTAAATTTACATTTGTAATTGTAATATTTTATCTTAAAATAATATATTATGATATAAAATTTATGTACATAATAAATAATTTTAATTTAGAATTTAAAATTATAATTGATAAATTATTTTCGATCATGCATGCATTTATAGCATATAAAAATAACATACCTATGGAGAATTATGCGTTCAACAATTTTTTCTGTTGTCATGTCGTTACCACTATCTAATAATTTAAATTTATTTTGTCTTTTAGGTTCAGCATATGGGTCTAAACCATCCTCACAAGGCATGATAGGAGTCTGACCATGACAAACAATAGATACATCAAAATGTTCCATAAGATCTTTAGTAACTTCATATGGAGCCCCAATTACAACTTCATTAACATACTATATATGAATCAAATAATAAATTTTAAATGTTTTGGAGTTCAATTAATATT